ATTCATACTAGTAGTCTTTTATCAGCAACTGCAGTTCAATTGTAACTTGTAAGTTCTAAGTATTTATGCAAGTTTGTGTTAAAAATTTGTATATTATAAGTTATTGTTGAGATTTATCAGATGCATTCACTTCAAGCTGTTGACACATTTGATCAAGTTTTTCACTCATAGTCTCACACTAACTCTGATTAGCTAGGTTCAATTATCAAATTTCTCTCCTTGATAAACAATATGTAAATTTCATTATAAATCTTTGTTTAAGTCGGTGGTCTTTACTTTACAAATGGACATGTCTTTTCTTAATATAAGATTTTCTTGTGTCAAAATAAAAATATTCTAATATTTTTTAGGTGACCTCAGGATATCTTTTAGTCAAAAAATAAAGACAAATTAGTAGAAGTAATAAGATTTATTTAAAAAGTTATTATTTTTCAGCCAACTTATATACACTGATCAAATACTTAAAAACCAAACCATAATTATTTAGCAACTCTATGAAACCACGTTGATAGCCTCACTATAATTAAGATGTGGTAACATCTAATTTCCTAAACTAAAAAATAAAGTTGTGGGTCTAAGGACTAGCTAGTACTCTTAGGCCTCCAAGCTATTAGTACTAATAGAAAATAGGTGATCCTTTCCTTCACGATAGTTGTTGGTTTATATTTGCAACGTTGATCTGGTCTTCTCCATGCTCTTTGCAGTAATAAGTACAACATAATTTACTGAGAGGTTGAAAGAGGAGGGCCTATAAAGATATTGATCTACTTTTGATAGATGATGAGTTGGATCAAAACAAAACAAACGAAAGATAGGTAGAATAGTACATATATACATAATCTATCGTCTGCTGGCATGTTTGTATCCATTATTTGGAGCAAAATAATTGTTTATTTTTTAAAACGCCTTTGTGAAACTTATAAAAATAATTGTTTTGGTTTTAAATAGACTTTTCATCATTAATCTTTTACTTTTTTTAATTTAGATAAAAAACTATTATTGAGTATTTGTAAATTTTACATCAATTTTGCTGATCATTACTCTAAAAAGATTATGCACCAAACAAAAAATTTCCAAAAAATCAAATAATAAGTAATCAAAAATTAAAAAAAAATATCGAAAAGTGTCACATTTAATACTACCTTTGGTCCTATATATGAAAACAAGAGATATATTATTTTGATTCTAATCATAACAAATATATAATTTATTTTTAAATGTTTTAATTATTAATTTTTTAAACCCTTAATTTATTGCATGAAGGATTGGAAGTATAAGGACCAGTGTTTGACTCTCCAAAATTAATAAGTAACATTAACATCATTAAATATAACTATCACTTACATTATTATATTTATAGTATGTTTAAAATAAAACTTTAAATTATAATATTACTAATTTAATTATTTTTATTAATTTCAATGAATTAAGTATTTATTTGTAATATAGAAACAAAGATGGCATTATCCACATGATGGAAAACTTGTGAAGAAACCGGATTGATGTTGATTCCTCTTCAAATTCTTCCCTAGACCTTTAGCTCCTTGATTCTTCTTAAGCTTCTCCAAGGTCTTCAATGGAGGAAAAGACCTTGGAAGCACCACGGTTTAGTGTAGAACCCTCTCAAAAGACGCCACTCCTTGGAAAAAAGATAAGTCTCTTCAATTCTCACCACACTCTTCTATGGAAGGGATAAGAGAATTTGATGAATATCAAAAAGGTTAAAGACTTATTCTAGACATAATTTACAATACAAAATCCCCCCAAAAATTTAGAAAGTCACCGACAAAACTGTTATGAAGAATTATGCATATGTTTGATCTATGAATGATAGCAAGATATAATTCATGATTGTGTATGTACATTTATTTTAGCTCTATAATAACTAAGGTATGCTCGTACGCACACCAAAGAAGGAGTGAATGAGACTTATGCTTACTATTGAAATATTGATGTAAAGGGTTGGGGGACAGCATGGCCTATGCATCCATCTCCCTTCTCATGCCATTCAAAGTATTCATGTGAAGGAGGCTTTTAATGCAATCCATCATCAAAGCAATCAAAGTATTAACTCATATACACTGTCTAAAGAATAGGTATCCATTTTTATTTGTGTTTGTTTGTGGTGCTCACATTTCCAAATTTGATTTTCTTTTCTTTAAAAAAAATATTTTATATTCTAAATTATGTTCTAGTTCTAGTTTTAAAACATAGTTAGATTCTCTTTTTCTTCGTGAAATAAAAGGATTCTTAAATTACAACATAGTTAGATGTTGTTGAGATCTAGATGTCCTTAAATGCAGATGATTTTTTTGTGTGTGTTAAATAGACAATTGCAAGGAATTCATGCTTAAGTTGGTGAATACTATTTCAATAGAGCAATGACATCATAATAAGATCAAGAAGGGGATAATTGACTCTCTGAAAAACTATTTATAAGTCATTTATATATGCAATATTTGCATTTATATCTACAAGGCCAACAAGGTGGTTACTTTAGGCCTTGAATTATAAACGAGGCTTCAAAAGTTTCATACAAAAGGCCCAAGCATTTTCTCACCGGCCTATAACTCAACGTTTTCCCCCTTTTTTTTTTTTGCTTTTGGGCCTATAGTTTTTAGCAATGTTGACCCAATAACATTTAATTTATTTTATATCTTCATGATATATACACCTCCTTTTTTCTATAAGTACACCTCCTTTTAAAAAAATTTAAACAAAAAATTAAGAATATTTTAAAATTTTAATTATTTTTTTAAAAGGAGGTGTACTTATAAAAAAAAGGTGTATATATCATGAACCATCAAAAAATCACACGTAGTTATTTGGACCAAGAAGAAAACACTTATTTTATTCTCTTGTTCTTCTTATTTTTTTGGGTTGAACAACACTTGGAAGTTTGAGTGCATTTATTAGAAGAAAATTTTTTCATACTTAGAAAATAGTTTTTTTTTTAGAATTATAAATATTTGAAACGTAATTCTAAAAAAATTATTGAAATATATTTAGTTGGTTATAAATATTATTAAAAATATTTTTATATATTTTTTTCTAAAACTTTATTTATGACTATATTAAATGAGTTAATGAAGATAATTTGATATCTTTATCACATTAAAAAAATTTCTTTCGATCTTGATTCTCATTTTTTTACGGCAAATAATTTCATGAAAAACATAAATAAAATATTTCTAAAAAGTAATACTGGCTATGAATGTTATTTTTTAATTTCAAAAGGATATTTATTTGTTATTAAATTATAGCTATATAAAACAACACTTATTTTATATAATATACGGAATAAAATACAGGTTTATAATTAAAAATTATTGATCACTAACCTAATGGACCAGTCATACTTTTGATATAACAATAAATATTCTCTCTTCTTATATTTTATTCATAAGAATTAAAACGACAATAATAAAATTTAAATTTAAAATTTGTATATATTATTTTAACCTCACTATTAGCTGACCTGGTAGATTATATTCTCTCATTACTATTCTTTATTCTTCTTATTATGCTTTATATACTAATTGACTAATTGTAATATTATTTTTTTTCTTTTCATCCTTTTGTATGACTTGCGTGTTTCTAACTTCAAAGTGCATAAATCTAAACATGTCACTGTATGAAATCTTGGAAGACAGATCGAATATTGAATTACATGGGAGATTTGTCAGCTTTCACCACATTGCCTATTATCATAACACAATACTAATTTCTCTTACTTTTTAGAAATCTGAAAATAATTATTTCTTCAGATAGTCTGGTGAATAATTTATCTTGAGTTAATATTTTTTTAACATAATTACTATATTTTTTAAAATGTTATGATCAAAATAATATCATTTTTATTATAAATTTATTAAAGATTATCGATGATATATATATATATATATATATATATAT